TTTTTCAAGTCGATGGTAAATATTTTTTTTCGTCAGTGGCAACCCTGATAGTAACATACACGGAAATGAGAAGGCTGATGAGTTAGCTAAGGCTGGAGCATATTTTGATGAATCCGAAGCAGAGACTATAAGTAGTCCACGATAACGGGAACATGCAGCTAAAATGGGCCTTCCTTGCAACCCTCGGTGCCGTAGCTGTAATCTTGAGAGAAGTAAAGAAACGGTCGTACACTATCCTTGCGAGTGCCCAGCATTGGTCCGGATAAGGCAGAACATACTCGGGAGTTTTTCCATCCAAAATCTCGGGGAGATTACCATTACTAACCTAAAGCGATTCATCGGAAAATCCAAATGGTTTGACGAACCCAACGAAGCATGAAAGCATATAAAATCAAAGGTCCCAGAGAAAGCGTATCAAAATGGTGCTTTCAGCACTAATTGGGTCCTGGGAATATACTCAGGCGACCCTTCTACCAACCAACCAGAATACATTTAGGCAGTGGAGACCTCATCATTCCTTATTGCTGGCTGATCCGCCATACAGTTACCTGTAATTTCGACGTTCCCAGAAAGCCAAATAATTAATGAAGTACGTGGCAGAGTAATTTGGTGCGATGGGGAGAGAGAACTCAGACATTCACTCATCGGTTCTCAAAAGTAAAAAGAAAGCATTTGGTTGCCGTCTGGCTATCAGAATATATAAGTATACATATGTTAACCTCCTTAAAAGCTATTGGTTGGTTAGTTGCTTGCTTCCTCTCTATTGCCATTCCTTTTCACTTCTCGTATATAATTATATTTTATTCTACTTTAATCTACCAGACAACATTTCTGTAATCTTAAGCACTTGTAGTTAGGTCGAAATGCTCAGACTTCGGCTTGTATTCATATATCTGTGAGAGTATTAAAGTACCTACCATCGCGCGCAGCTCAGTTTCGCCTGCTATATCTACGGTCACAATTTTTAGCGTATCGGCCGTGATTAGGGATGGTCCGAAGTGCATCACTGATTCCATTTAACCCTAGAATACTAACCATCTTGTATAAGCGTCGTAGCTGAAGACGGTATGCGAGGGTGGCATAAACTGTTACAAAATTAACCAATTTTAGTTTAGATATTAAAAAAAGTTGTATGTAATATTGCAGAGTTAAGGAAAAGCATCAAGTACATCATACAATAAAATTGGTTTAATTATGATATTGTTCATTAAATGACAAATATGTGACTTGTCCAGACAGAAAACTACCCTCGACAAGAAGCCGCTGCTGGTACCCTCCTCGTAAAATTACTACGAAGTTTACAATTGTGGTAGGTTGTTATAGTCGTGCGAATAGCACATTTTTTTTTTTAAATCGTGGTATAATGCTTCCTGGGAACTTCGTTCGCAATAAGATCATTGTTTCATGCACTGTGTGGCAAGTGGCACCGTCCTGTTGAAACCACATCTTGTCCAAGACCAAGTCATCTAATTGAGGCCATAAAAAGTTTGTTAGATATCATCTTAGGATAACGTTAACAATGTTACTGGCCTGATCCAAATTTTGTACCACAGCAGCAATATTTTCGGCCGAACGACCTGTTCGAAGACGCACAGGTATTTTCAATGTTTGCACCGACCCAGTTTCTTCGAGTTTCTGTATCAAACGGTTGATTATTAACTAAGATGGCCGGTTATGTTGACCGATAAAATCACGCAATGCGCTAAATGCACTTATTGCAGAACTACCATTTTCATAAAGCGTTGATATCACTTTTATGCGTTATTCCACTGAGTATCGCTCCATGACTTATATAGTTTGCGGAACCTGTAGTATCTACCAATTGTCTGAAAAAAGAACAAAAAACATTTACATATTATGTCAAAGATTTGTATCACTCTTGAATATTTACTTTAGGAAGAATTGGATATAAGCTTCCACGTCCGAAGCTTGGAACTTTTCAAAGAAAAAGGCTGCAACCGCGAAACGAGGCGACTTAAAACAATCAAAGCCATAAAGTTTTAATTATTCGAAGTCAGAATTTCATTAAGTGATGCATCAGGACTTCTGTACCGTAACCATTATAATGGGTGACTCGACTTTAGTGTTCTATTTGTTTTATTTTTTTTATTTATTTTTTTTTGTTATTGGAGGCGAAACTGTTGCACCTCTTTAATTTCATAGAATACACTAACAGTTTAGAATAAAAATTAATTTTAGCTTAGATTTATAAGTAAGTTATTCAATAAATCGTCAACGCCAAACGTCCGATTTTTATTGGTTTAACTCCGGTTAGAGAAATTTTTCTCCTTTCGGTACCAACAATTCTTATCAAACCCATTTTGAAACATTACTTATTTATAAACTTGTGCTTAAAATAAATTTTTGAAATTTTATTTAATAAATATTCATTAGCTTTTAACTCAACTACTCTAAAATCAAAGTAGCATAGTAACAGGAAACGTTTTATGATATCTAGCAAAACGAGATACATATGTACATCGTCGTTTGGTAAACAAAATAAAAATCAGAACCTACACAAAAAAAAAACAACTTACTAAGATTTACGGGTACAAATGCGAGAATATACATACTAAATACATTCCCCTGTTACCACACAATTCGCGTGCGCAACTCGTTTTCGTGGCTATGAATACATACAATAATTAATTGTTATAATATAGTAGGCAACTAATTAAAAATAATTGTATGTTTTACAGAGATCCGATCGTCAACGCACAGATAATACATTTTTTTTGCTCTCCATTATTAAATAAACTTAACGTTTTAAAAACGTAAAAAGGCGCACACACACACATACTAAGATGGCGATCGAAAAAGCTACACTAGCTGAGAAGAATAATATAACAGTTTATAATGCGACCACAAAGCCAAATAAACCCAAACGCCGTGATAAAAGTGACCTCGGTCCGAACTTTGTGGCACCCGATGGCGGCTGGGGTTGGGTGGTTTGCGTAGCAGCTGGACTCAGTAATGTAAGTAATAATTATACTTAAATATGTACACNTATAACAGTTTATAATGCGACCACAAAGCCAAATAAACCCAAACGTCGTGATAAAAGTGACCTCGGTCCGAACTTTGTGGCACCCGATGGCGGCTGGGGTTGGGTGGTTTGCGTAGCAGCTGGACTCAGTAATGTAAGTAATAATTATACTTAAATATGTACACACATATTTATTTGTAGGCTTCTCTCAAAGAAATTTTACTTATTTTTATTGCATACCCCACACAGCTCTCCATTTTCCCTCCACTGCAGCAATACGGCCTGATCTATCGGCAGCGTATGGTGGATCTAGGGTTCACAGCAAAGGAGACTACCACTATTGTAAATATTATAATGAGTCTATCATCATTAGTTGGTAAGCATTAAAATTCCTAAATACTACATTTCAGAAACTATACTTACATATTTTCTTATGTATTTAGGTATTATGAATGGTGCCATGTTTCGTCGCTTCTCATTTCGCCAAGTGGCCATTGCCGGCAATATTTTTATCTTCACTGGCATTTTACTGACAGCTTGGTGTACCACATTTTGGCAGTATGTGCTTAGTTTTTCAGTTATTTATGGTAAATATTTCCAGTCGTACTATATCTCATTTTCATTCTGATTCCTTCCTCTTCCTATTCATAAACCGACCACATTTTTCGTTCAGGTACCGGCATGGGCCTCAGCATGGCTGCTGTGTCGTTGGCAGTGAATACGTACTTTAAAACTCGCCGACGACGTGCAACTGGCTTTTCTTGGACCATAACCGGTTTGGGACCCATTATTTTCCCTCACATTACTACGATCTTGCTCATCTACTACGGCGCACAGGGTACGATACTAATTTATGCCGCCATTGCGCTAAATGCGCTCTTGTGTGCGATGACTTTGCAGCCCGTGCTGTGGCATACAACAAAACCCAAGGAATCAGCAGCAGCGCAACAAACGGCGAATGCCGATAACCAGTTGGTCCCACTTGCTCCTACAAATGAGAATGAAGAATATGAGTGCAAATACTGTCAGTACAAGAAACATCACAAGCGCAGTATATTCTCCTCGCAGTATCTCTTCAACGAAGACGACTTGGAAACTCCGGGCTATGAAATTACCGAACCCGGTACACCGATGATGGCACGCGCCAACGACGGTTGGTTCGGTTCGAAGGTGTCACTTGCTGCAGAAATGAATCCAATACGCTTGCGTCACAAGGTGATGCGACAGGCTTCAATGAAGGCACACATCTCAGAGATGGAACATGAGGAGGATGAACACAATGCGCCCGAATCACGCTTATATA